CCCACGTGCGTGCTCCCTGCTCCGCACCCTACTGCAACTTCCTTTGAAATATGTGAGCACAGTGAGCTGCCGAAAAGGCCCGAGCCTCCGGAGAGACCTGACACAAATCCACACCAATGAATCCCGTCTCTGACGGGAGCCCCGGCCGGGGCAGAATGCACCATGGAGCTTAGTCACCCTCGTCTGAGGCGCTACCACCATTTTTATCGAATCATGGAAATTTTAAACATTCAACACTTTCAATAAAAAATGTATGAAATCACAAAGACAAGCAATTATCAATTGTGTGTTTGTGGCTAGAACGAGCATCTGGCAGAAATCGTGGCTGCGAGCCTGGTTTGGAGAGCTGCCTGCTTCTTCACCGTTCACCCGAGCGTCTTCTCCTGGCCTGACTCAAACCTATGGAGCCACTAGCTGGGTTACATGTCTGAAGTCATATTTGCAAACAAATAATAATATATTAAAATGCCATTTGCCTTTGGATTTCATAATAGCAATTGGTAAAGGAATGAATTAATTGCAAAATAGACGAACATAACTGAATTTTGTGACCAACTTAGCACATGTAAACTAAAATTTTAATCAGCTTAAATTAAACAAAAAAAATTCTAAGAAAATTTGTATACACAAAGAGTGCTAAAACTTTCAAATGTTATTTTAGCTTTTATAATCTACCTTTTAATTCAATATATTTTCAGCAGCTGAAAATCAACTGCTTTCCTATTTGCTTTTTGGCTGGAGTGGTTTGTTTCTGTTGAGTGCATGACATGCAACTGCAACATGTATCTATTCAAATTTTTGGTTAAATGAGGTAAAATCAGGTACAATGTTTCAGAATGTATAAAGAAGAGTATTTAAAATCTTAAAATATTTAAAGTATCTGAAATCTTAAAAATATAAAAAGGTCAATATGGTTTTTCTGTTCAATGACTACATGTATCTGAGCCTAAGTTACTTGCCAACTTTCCATACTTAGAACCTAACTGAAAATCCAGAAAGAGACGAGAAGCCCCTGAGTAGCTAAAACGCTGCTCACGAATGACAGGTGATTATTTATAAAGCGCCCTTTGTGTCTTCACCCAGAACCAAACTGTTCTTTTTTAATGCATGATTCTATCAATACTAGATGCAGAGGACACAAACCCTCACACGAGCTAATTAGAGGTTGACTTCTAATTACACAGAGAAAATAATTTCTAAGAGCTAAATTAACACATCCCGCTGGAAATCGACAGATCATATGATTCACCTTATAAAGACCTGAGACGGAATTCTCATGATGGCCCCCCCCCCGCCCCAGGCAGGCCTGCAGGGAGGCCAAAGCGATCGGGACTCATGAAGGGTCTGAGGGGGAGAACAGAGGAGCTCGTGTGGGTGCCGAGGGGTAAATGGCCAGGGAAAGGCAAGAGTGGCAGCTCGAGGTCAAGGGGAGCTTTATTTAGAATGTAGGAAACCTGAGCATGTTTCAGCACGGTGAACAGGAGCCAGGAGGAAGGCAGAGCTGAAAACAAGGCACATGGGAGGGAACTATGTAGGCAAAGAGTGGGGAGAAGGCATGGAAAGCCCAGGGGCGTGGACCAGCCTTGGAAGACCCCTGAACCGCCTGGGGCCTTCTTCAAAGCCCCTGCACCCCTTGGTTCCTTCCATCCGGGACTTCCCTGAGGAAATAGTTTGAAGCAGAGCTACTCACAGCTGGTCCTCAGCCCAGAGGAGTTAGCCTTGCCTGGATCCCACTGGCTGAGTCCTGCCTCCGCCCCAGACTTTAAAGCAGTGGTTACGAATATAAGCATTCAAGTCAGGTAGATGTGGGTTCAGATCCAGCTCTCCAGGTACGTGCCCTTGGGCAAGCAAGCCTCTCCAAGCCTCAGTTTCTTCCTCAGTAGAATGGGGATAAGGCTAATAATATTTCTCAAGGGCATTATAAAAATTAAATGATATAATGGAAAGAGGTAAAGAGCTTGGCATTGAACCTGGCACACAGCAATAATGGATGGCATGTTATTATCGTCCATTCCCTGGGCCTGCCTGCTATAATAGCTTCATTATGTCCCTGCCAGAACCCCTCTGGGGAATGAGGTTGCCAAGGACAGGGAACATCCGACCCTGAGCTCTGCAGGGCTGATGTGCTCAATAAATATGTGCTGAAATGAATAAATCCAGGGATGTGACAGGGGTAAATGAATGATCCCAAAGCAAATATTAAAACTATTTCTTTTACTATATTTATACAAAAACCAGTTAGACATAGGTTATGAACTTGTTTGGGATTAAAGGATCAACTTTTGGAAGAGGACAAGCAAATTGTGAGGCAAAATATGTGCCTCTTTCAAAACCTCCTATAATAGGGAGTGTCCCCAAGAGGGTCAGAGATCTGTCTGAATGGATATCAAGGTGCTCCCCAAGGTCAGCAGTGTAGATCACTCCCAAGGTGTGGTACCTAAGACGAAGTTTCATGCCTGGGGAAAAGCACTTTGGTTGAATTGCAACACTAGATAGATGGGTTTCTCCCCTGCAGGCAAGGTTCCAAAAAATGCAGCGACTGACTTCACTGAGCACACCTTCCTTCCCTGTTTTGGTGACAGTGTGGACACAGAACCCCCACCAGGCTTGCTCAGTGACACAAATCTTTATGCCTGCATTATTAGATATGAGAAAACACAGAGAACTCATAACAGAACACCTGCCTCTACAGTGAATGATATATAACAATGGCAAAGGTATTTGAGGGACACACCTCAGTAGGTAAATTTGATGTCAAGAACCCACAAGTCATTATAACCCAATTCAGTGCAAACAAGTCACCTTTGTGGGGTGCCTACTGGGTCAAGGGCACTGGGCTAGGCAGGAGGACTGAGGTCCCCATGCAGAGGATGGGAGAACCAGGACCTAGGGCCAGGGCCCTGCAGTACAGGCTGGAGCCAAGACTCTCGCGGCCAGAGGCAGAAGGTCAGAGGAAGCTTCTGGACACAGCTCATTTGCTATCACCTCCCTGACAGGCAAGAGTAGGAAGAACACTTCAGACAGAGCTGCCAGCAACATTGCAGTTGCCAAAAGGGGACTACGGAGCCCAGGGTTTTCCACATAAGCGTCAAGAAGCAAAGGAAGCACAGGGCTTGGCCTGGAGGAGTGGCTGATCCGGTCTTTCTTCAGGAAGGGTATTCTGAGGATGGACTATACAAAGGCCCTGGGGCCAAGGGACCCACTGATAATCCAGGCAGGAGACAGCTGGGCAGAGGCCTTGGGAACCTCCAGGGAGAGGGAGTCGAGACTGACCACAAGGTCCCTGGTTGAGTCACAAAACAATGAAGCCCAGAATTGCCAGAAAGTTCCAGATCAGGGGATACTCCTGGTCACAGTGTGGCGCTCTTGAGATCAGTGCTTTAACATGAAATTTCAGTGAGTGTCCTAAAAGCCCAGGCTGGGGATGACTTCTGATTAATCAAGCTGGTCTCCTAGGTTTTATGCTAACAATAAAAAGAGGCCTCTGGTGGCTCATTTTTTGTAACCCTCCCTGCAGCCTGTGACCTCTGCACACTGGAGCTCACTGGACATCCGTGTGAAATCCAGTGGCCCTTTGCTTTGGAGACAATGTCTCAGTTGTGGAATCTTCAATGACCACCAGTGTTGCTCGAGATGTTCATTCTGAATTGAAATCCAAAGTCTCCCGAGGTCTGGTTACCAAGAAACAGTTTGTCTCAAAAATAGAAGCAAAGACAAGTGTTTGATGAATGAAGGTTGATGCTCACTGCAAGCTGGATGTGGAACCAGATTTTACGTTGCTGGGTATGAGTGCGGCACCTGTCTGACTGACCTCGAGAAATCTTTACATTGGGGGCCAGCAAGGCTTGTCTGAAAGAAGCTTTTGCCCACAGCAGTGACGTGGGGGACCCTTCCTGGCAGGACACTCAACTGCTTGACTCCTCTTCCCACGGGTGGGGAGAAGAGGAGCCCCCATAAGCCCAGCGCTCGCTTGCTCCTCTCTGCAGACGGAGGGACAGTTTATACCCAGCCACTTTTTCCACCAGTGTCTAGGCCAGGGCGACACCACACAGGATCTTCTTTCCCTGTAGTGCAGCGTCCAGTGCGCCTCTGTAACTCTTAACCACAGCCCCCCACATGCCAGTGACAGTCACTGGGAAAAGCAGAAGCAGCCCCGGCATTTCCAAACCGCAGTGTTCCCCGATGAAGTTCTTCTCTATAAATACTCTGTTTGCCTACCTGATAAAAATAATTGCTGCCTGTACTTGTCCATCTGATATGGCATAAAGAAACAATCTTTGTTTTTTATAAAGGAGCAATATGTCAAATAAACCTGAAATGTTCTAAGCCCATTGCTATTTTTCGGCACAAGCACAGCACCAAGCTAAATTACAGAGAAAGCACAGCTAGCTCGAGGCATTATTTTTTTCCCTTGGGGAATTTAAAAACGAAATACAGTTCAAAACCTAGAACCTAAAGTGAGATTTTTTTCTTATAAATTTGGGGACATCAGAAGTTCTAAAAATAAAGCCTGAATGACCAGAGAACCAAGGTGAAGAACCCTTAAAACAAACATCATACAAAAGCATCCTGGTGATTTATATTTCCACACGTATTATAACAGGAGCAAAATAAAACTTGCCCTTCTGAACTCTACCCCCATGCTTGGGAAGTAAGTATTGAAGCACTTTGCATTGTGAATGAATATGCTTTAATTCCAAGACTTCAAGTGCTGACATTTAGATAGAATGTACTTACTAAGTTATATTAATCAAACTGTTAGTAATAAACCTCTCTGTACCATAAAGTACTTTAAGAAAAAACAAAACAAAACAAAAGCCCAATCTTTCCAAACCTAAAAACTATGCCCAAGGGTATCTGCAGAAGCTGTAATAACTAGCAAATACTGGCAGGAACATTCCAACGCTTGAAGTCGTCAGATCTTTAGGAAGCATGCGCAGACAGATGGCACATAAAAAGACCCAAATGGCTTTAGAATTATAGGAAGATTTTTCACTTACTTCAAATTTCTGTATAATTCTTGTTCCTCTAAGTTAAAGGGGGAGGGGAAATCACACTGCAATTCCTTATTTGTCTAATTAAAAAATAAAACAAAACACGTTATATCCTCTAATCCAGCTTTGGATGTCCTGTAGTATTTTCTCGGAGTCTCTTTTCAATGACTACTACTTCCAAATGTTAAACAAAATGTGAAGTATCAAAAGTTAGCCCAAGTGACTTGTACAAAACCAAATATCACAATGCAAAACAAGGCAACTTGCATCCATCAGAAGCGATGATTCAGAACAGGATAAATTTAGAATGGTGCTTTCCAAAAGGCGTTTGGATGTCAAGTTCAGGAAATAGGTGAAGGCTACATCCCAAAAGTTTCTCTCCAAAAAGAACGCCAAAACATTAATAAAAAGAGTCTTCTCTTTTTCCGTTCCCCGGCGTCCTCGAGGCCAAACGTCCCCGACCTGGCTTTGGTAGGGCCACCCATTACTAGGCAAATCCCGTGAAACCTGAGGACACGGTAGCCCGTAAGGACGCATCAGAGCAGTGGAGCAGGCTCCACACAGGACGGGCCTTTTATGGCCTGAACTCGAGAGGCCTGGTACCGGCTAATCCACCAGAAATAGCTCTGGAAACCGAGAGGAGCCCGTCAGCTGTCGCGGCTGGGCTGGCCAGCAGCTCCTTCAAATGCTATCAGCCTGTCCTCATTGTCTTTCAGCTTGTTTCATAGAGAAATTAAAAATACAACAGCAGTCTACTGAGCAGCCTTCAACAATTCCGGTTTTGGTTGGGCAACCTTTTTTTTACTTTCTTTTTAGGTTTAAAAAAAAAAGAACACATAATCCTTGACAAAACTCAGACACTGGACACCCCAAAAGTAAGTAACATACATATTACATATGAATATTTATTAAACAGCATGCTAGAGTGGCACATGTCTCTTTACACGTTTACAAACGGTGTAGACCTCTGTGGATAACCTCTAATAACTGTAGAAAATTAATCATCAAAGAAAAAACTGTGCTGGGAGCAATTTCTTTAAAACTATGCAAACATTTTGCCTTATATCCAAAGCCAATACTCTCAATTAGCAAAATCTATCTTCCTATGGATCCCAGGTAGGTCACCTCTCTTGAAAACCTGGTGAACCTTAACTACTGGGGGGAAAAATGAACTTTTAAGCACAACCACTTCTTAAAAAGCTACTTCCACTTTTTAAACATTAAAAGGCCATTTACTTTTTTTTCAACATTAAAACTAAATATTACAACCCCGTTTAGAAAAATACTTACAATGACAGTGTCCCTGTTGTTTGCCAAGAATACTAGAGAGACTCAACTGTTCATCACAAACCCCTCACTCAGAGGCCGGAGCGAAGGCTGTGTGCTGTGCGGCTGGTGTGCCCCGATGTCACTGTCCTAGGACCACCAGCTGCACCCGTCAGCACAGCACGACTGCACAGTGCGGATCTGAATTCCTGTGACTGATCAACCCTGCAGCACAATGCCTCCCCCTCAGCGGACAGTCTTGTGGCCAGGTGAGAAGATGACAGATGCCCAGGACAGGCATCGTAATTAAACACTGGCTTCCTGACTATTTTGTGCAAGGAGTAAAAATTACCATTTGTCCAAGCCGAATTTTCTACCCTCCTCGAGATGACAAACAAACAAAACTTTCCCAGCACAACTTTTGTTTCCTAATCTTTCTAACTGGCCCTGAACTTATTCATATTTCCCCAATTTGGTTTTTATCTCATTTTAAAGTTTATTTTGTCTTGTTTTATATATTTATATAGGCTGCTTTAAACCCTTCCTGGAGAAAAGCAGAGTAAAAATAAATTAAAGAAGCAGCTGACTATCTGGGATTCTGGAGCTTTTCTTTAAACAAAAGATAGGAGAAAATGAATCCCCATTACCCACAATAGTGCAGTTTTTCTCCTAAAAAAGATGCACTCCCACAAAATAAACATCTCACTTTTGTATGCCTCTCAAGTTTTTGCTCAGTTGCATCCCTGTAGCAACCAAACTGTCCTAGATTAACACATTAGAGCCTAATAGACTAGTAATTCTTCTCTGTCACTTCTTTTATACACCCTTTTTCTGCTGGACTACTTGAATCCCAGTTCATTCTTCCTGTGCAACCTGTTTACACACTTACCTAAATTTTTTCACTATCTTCCTAACTCAGAAAAACTCTTGTCACACCCACTTCTTTCTACATAATGATAATCATGAATTGTAAAAGTTAACGTAGTCAAGATGTCAATCCTTCCAAAATTGACCTATAGGTGGGTTTAATACAAATCCCATCAAAACCCTGCAAGGATTTTTGGCTGATATAGACAAGCTTTTTCTAAAATTTCTATGTAAAGGCACAGGCCCTAGACTAGCTAGAACAATCTTGAAAAAGAAGAACAAAGAGAGAGGAATCCCTCTACCCCACACTGAGCCCTAGAATCCAGCTCTGGCAATCTAGACAGTGCGGTGGGACGGGAGGGCAGGCATGGACAGGCGCCCGGCCCTGGCCAATGGAGCTGGTCAGAGACAGACGGGCACACACAGGCACGCCAAACTGACTCTCACGCCTCCCAACAAAAGGCGCCTCGGCAATTGGACAGCCCTAGACAAAATAAATAATTAAATACAGGAGTTCTACTTAATCCTCAGTGTGGTACATCCACACCATGGAACACTACTCAACAATAAAAAGGAACAAACTATTGATACCTACAATAGCCTGGATAAAAATTGAGGGCGTTAATGCCAAATGAAAAAAAGCCAATTCCAAAATGTTAGCTATTGCATGATTCCATTCATATACTCCCCAGATGACAACATTGTAGAAATGGGGCACAGACAGCTGTCAGAGGTTGGGGGCAACACGAAGGCTCCCTGCTCTGGAATTTCTCCTCCTCCTCCTGACTGTCAGTGTCCGTGTCCTGGCTGTGACACTGTTATACATGATACAAAGACGCTACCACTGGGGAACTGGGTAACAGATGCACATGCAAACCTACTGCAAAATGACACTGTCAAATACAAAGTCCATTTGTAAATGGGCTATTTACTCGAACTCTACTTTAAATAAATCCATAAACATTGACTTATTATCAATGCTATCTTAAGAACTTCAAATTGGAAATATTTCTTTTTCCCTACAAGAAAGTCACTGACACAAAGTAAAATATTTGATATAGAATAAGAAATGGAAAGCACTTCTTTCCAATGGAACATTTTTATTTAGCAGGCTATACAGACAGTTAACTGGAGCCCCTCTAATACCTAGGGCCCATCCAATGACAGAAAATGACACCTCCACAGACTTTTCAGTTCAATCCACTGCTCCAGATTATTAAACTTCAAAACCTGATCTACACTGGAGAAATAGTAAGAAAACAACTCTTTGAAAAGAGAGGACATTAGGTCTTTTTAAAAAGATAGGTCTCACTATGTTGCCCAGGCAGACTCGAACTCCTGGGCTCAAGTGATCCTCCCACCTCAGCAGCCGGAGTTACTGGGACTATAGGCACACGCTTCACATCTGAATGCTACTATAAATATAATAAATTTTTTTTAAACTCTAGAGTTCATAGTCTAAGAGGCTCATTTATTACAACAAAAAGATAACATGATAGCTAAGCCTTCCGGGAAATAGGGCGGGCAGATGGAGAATGTCTCAGTGACCTTTATCCTCAGACTCCATAACATGAAATCTGGATTCGAACATCCAGAACTGCCACTCCTGAGGGCCAAATAACTGATGCTGGACTTTTCTTTTGGAGATGATTAGCTCTAGGGACTGCCAGGTCGTGCACAGGACACAGGAGGCTGCTTCTCACTTCATTGAGGGCATCACAGCAAGCCCAAGAATAGCCCCAGCCTCTCACCTCCTGCTCCCCCAATTCCTTCAGTCCCAGCTGCCCCTGCAAGCTCTCACCGCCCTCCTTCCCTTGTCTCTGCCATCACTAATCTTGCAGAGCCACTCTCTCCTCTCCCAGCGCCCGCGCAGCTGCCATGGGCCTCGCCACTGGATTCCAGCCCCCGCTGTGCGCAGCAGCTGCTCTCCCGCAGCAGGCCCGCGTGCTGCATCTGGACTGGGCCCCGCTCTGGTGCCGACACCTTCTGACCACTCTGGCTGCATGGAACGTCTCTTTATAAAAAAATTCTTGACCACTCCTTTCTGGGCTCTGCACGTGACGTGCTGATCATTCCCTCCCCAGTTGTCTCGCTGACCTGTCTACCTCTCCCCTCCCTCCAGTGTCCAAATGTTACCCAGGACACTGATCCGGTGGTCTTCTCACCCACCCACCCTCCCCCAGAGTGAGTTCTGCCACACCTGAAGTAGAATTCCGGATGTTGGTGATTCCCTGGAGCTCAGAATACCAGGATAATCTCATGGGAACATGAAACTCAAGACAAATAACAGTATTCTCATCATCTCACATCAGAAAACTGGCTCCTGTTTTCCTAACCAGAACCTCACCATTAGCAATGTGGTCACCCAAACTGGACACGGGGCCACCCTGAACTTCAGCCTCCTTCTCTGCTCCACCCCCTGTTGATGTTCTCATGCGCTCGAGTCAGAATTATTACAGAGCCTCCATACAGTTCTCCCACCTCCTACCTCCAGCTCCCCAAACCCCTCCTCACTGTGGTTCCAAGAATGGCCTTTGAACTTCCCAGTCCTGGCTGTTTGCTCCCAACTGAACCTCTTCATGAGCTCCTGGGCTGCTTCTCCAGCAGACGGTGGGTAGCAGCCACCCCTCACCCATGGCAGCTCGAGCGGCAAACTCACTGAGTTACATCGTTTGAGGGGCAAAGGTCAGAATATCTGCGTAAAACTCACTGTTACCCACTTACATTTAGATATTCATCAGTAGGAGAAAAGCTATCTGGTTACAAATAAATACATTGGAAATTACACTTAGCCCAGAGAGGATCTCATATAGACCAAGATCTGTGGTTACTGTAATGGGTGTGTCCCTAAGAGCCGTGAAGGCTGCGGGGAACTGTGATGACTTGATTTACCGCTGGCATCACATTTAGGTAAACCCAGGAGGAATGTGACTCGTGTGGATGTCAGTGACATACAGTACTTGTGTTAGTGGAAAGCAAAACAAAAAACCAGAAAACAAAACATCAAGGATGTCTGGCCTGGTGGATAAATTCCAAAGTCCTGTCCCTCTGAGCTGGCCGCTTCCCCACTCCGCCCCACAGCAAGTGACCTGCACCCAACCCGAGAAGCCACAGTGACCACCCTTGCTATATCCAGGCTGCTCGGAATGCCTTTCCTTCTTTCTGCTCAGGAGGCTGAGGCAAGAAGATCACTTGAGCCTAGGAGTTTGAGGTGACAGTGAGCTGTGATCGCCACTGCCCTCCAGCCTGCGAGACAGAGCAAGACTTTATCTCTAAGAAAGACAGAAAGAAAAGCCCCAATCATCCTTCAAGGCTCAGTTGACTTTATTTCTCCTATAAACCTGTCCCTGACACAGTCTCTGACCCCACAACCTCTAGACAGTGAGCAGGGACTTCCCGGTATCTCTGAGGTCTCCAGAACCTAGCAATGCCACACAGGTAAATCTAATGGACATTTGTGACGCGGAGACAAAAAACTAAAAGCAAAACAGCTTGTGGTGAGGTCTCTTTCCTCATTTGAATGCAGCTAAACATTCTCCCCTTCCTTTCAAGTTTGATTAATCGATACATAACGTCCCTCCAGAGCTGGAGAAAGTGACGAGCTGACCCTCAGCT